ACCCACACAAGCATGCATGAATACGCCTAGCAAATACAGAAAGTATGTGCCAAATCAGCGCAACAGAAGCAGGGAGTCCATCCCCTGGATCCACCTGCATCCCAGAGAAGCAAAGGTCGCTTTTGGTCCGCGATCAACCCCCTACCCACCACCTGGGGACGCGCTACGTAGCGTTGCGACTAACAGGCTCGAGATCCCTCATATGAGGGAGATCCGTGGGGACCTTTTTGAACCTTCAGTAGGATAATGAATATGGTGATTTATTATATATAGAAATAGAGTGAGCGCGACTTTCATTTCTTCTGCGTGCTCTTAGGTTTATAAATTATCCAAGGATGATTTCGCAGATTATTGATGATTCAATTAGGATTTCATTTAGAGAATGCTTTTAGGACTGATGGTTGCATTTTTTTCTTGAAGCCAAACGGGTTAACGTTTGATGAATTCATCTATCGCTATGAGTGGCGTAAATACCTTAATGTCGTTCTCTTATTGATTAGATAGCTAACAAGCCTCAGCGATAACAAATGTCGCTTTGCTAATGCTTATGGACGTCGATTCGGTTGCATATCCCGTGCGATAGAAGTTTTCAGGAATAAATAACATACAGTTATTAAAAAGCTGGACGCTGAGAGTTCGATACGTTGTTCTTTTTTTCTTTAATTACCGGCCGCCTCTATCACCTATAAAATCATCGAACGAATGCAATGAACACCGATAAAGTTTCTACTCATCTATTCGCCCTACAGCGCACCATTGGTGACCGGCAGGCTTGCTTTCTTGAGTGACACCAACATCATCATAGTTTTACGTAGTAACTTAGCCGGCTTTCTTGCATGGGGATAATGGGGTCAATTTGTTAAAGTGGAATCCGCACCCATCACTCTGTCCACATTGGGGTGATTCCAGACTTTTGGCCATATGGTAGGTGACCATCTAGACACGCAAGCGCATAGGCACGCATATATGAACAAAGTGCGATTACGCGTATCGAAAGTCTATATGACGCAGCACATATAGAGTCTACCCTCACAGTCCACTTGCCTCCTAAGGCAAATAAATGGTTGCTTTTAGTCTATATTTAATCCTATGCCACCTAGAAGCGCGCTGCCTAACCTCATCATTTCTATGATAAGTGGATTTGTTTCTGCATTTGATTAATGAAGCGAAACCTTAGAGTTTTCGCCATCTGTGCCCAAGAACACAGATGGCCACAGTCATCGAGTCGGCCCACTTTGATCATTATCAAGCTGTGATAGCCGGCGAACGGTTAAGATCTTACCTTCCGGTAGACAAAGTGCAAAGTACACAAGACTAATGTTATGGTTCTTATATCTAATAAATTGCGACGTACATCTGAACTTGTTGCTCTTAAAAAGCATTTATATATTACCCTACCATCACATTTTTTTCGTCCATTTGCCTAAATAATTTTATGGCTTTTTTTTTTACAATGAATTGAATCAGCCATCTCAGCACATTTTCTATTCAACGGGTACGTTGCCGATTTGGTATGATTTTTTTCTGGAGTGTCGAGAAATCCGTGCCATTGCGTTCCTGGTCCGCCACTGGCGCTCGCCGTCTCATGAGGATTGGAAGGAGGCTTTCCACCTTGCGATTCCGATTCTTCCAAGGCGGCAGCCGTCCCTTTCTCTAGGTTTACTCTTAGTTCGGATTCCAAGCTGAAATATCGAACTTCTTAACTCAATTGGTCATTCTGGGTGATAACGTCTCTTTATATGCGGTATAACTGTACCGCCAAGTACATCCTATACCCAGGTGAGACAATAAACCACAGCTTTTTCCCTTCGTTTAGTCTTAATAACAATTCCAACTTGACTGTGCAATAGCTTAACTTTTATTTACTGCCTTTTTTTTCGTAGTTGGGTGCTACATGAAAATGCAACCACAAGGATGCTGAGATTTGAGCAAAACAGGTGTACTTCGAACCCGCGATTACCCTTCACATGGGCTCACCTGCCGTCCATCGCATCAACCGAGGCCCTTGCTTTCCGTCTCTTTCAATAATATTTTTACAAAAAGAATGGAAGAAGTAAAAAAACTGGATTTTTAGTAAGAACATGTCTGAGAGGAGAGCAAAAGAAGGGCCTGGATTGATATGGTCGGTGGCATATGAGCCATCGGCAGAAGGTAATCGCAGGTTCGAAGCGCAACTAAGACTTCGAGTTTTACTGATGTCTCCTCATCCTTATGATTGCATCTCACTTTGCAGTGTGAGAAATTTTACGTGCTTTCGTCCGCAATATGTTGCCACATTAGTAGTTCCATCCAACTCAAGCAGAGGAACCGTCGAAGTATTTACTCAATCTTTACCGTATTTCTAAGAGGATTTCTTCAAACAGGCAATAGCATCTCTAAAAATATCTGGACAAGAGGAATTTTTCCTAAACTAGGCTGTTTAGCTGCTCATACCTTCATTTCCCATGACATCAGTCGTAGACGGACGTCAGGTGGCAGCCCGCCAAGGGTTGTCAGAGATTGGGCGGGACGGCGGCAGGATGCTGCGGAAGACCGGGTCGTGACCACCGCTGTCGCTCTCCTCCCGTTTGTTGCTGCCATCCTTCGAAGAGACAGCGCTTTTCTTTTTGTGTTGTTTCTTCGAATAGTCATGCCGTATCTCGTTTGTAAGACTATCTCAACGTCCGTTAAGATCTTCGGAATGAATCTACGGTTTAACTCTGTTCATCCATCGTGTTCTTTCTTGATTTTTTCCCACATATACCAATAATTTCACTTCTTTCATTTCCTTGCTATACTTTTCCATTGAGGAATTACATTTCTTGGCTCTAATAGGATTATTCCTTTAAGTATTGCGCATTGATTGGATTCAAAGAGATACAAATGAATTCCGATTCGGGCTATATCCGAATCAATAACTTGTTTTTTTCCGTATCATGTTACCATGCCCTATGTTCACAGTGACTGTTTGCTCTGGCACAGCGGCGGTGATAATTAGGCCGTATTTTCTTCAACTATTTGGTAATAGCTTAATATTCACATAGTTTATGTGAAAAGAAGAACTCTGAACATTTGGCGATATGGTGGAAAATTGCTATTGGAATGGCGAACTGGCCGACGAGATGTGGTAGTCATTTAATATTGGAAAACATGGATATTAAAATGAATACATCTTAATCGGATGTCGAAGTCGAACCGAAGCACCTCACCACATACGAATGCTAGAAAATAGCCGCAAATGTTGTCAGTTCGTATTGAAGACCATGGAGGTATTGTGAGCTTTTTGCACCCAATATCCTGCCATCCATAAATCATCCGCGGCGGATTTCGTCATTGAGCACATCTGGTCAGAGATGGTCAGAAAAGTCAACTGCTTCCCAGTTTTCCTTTAAAAGCCGTGCTTTTTTGCGAAGAATCGAGGTGCTATCTATCATGAATGATGCTTTGCCATCATTCTAATAGATACAATCTCTACAGCGAAACAAATGTGCTCAATTTTATCAGCAGTGATTTTTTTCCTCCATTGTGCTCATTTGTAATGTTTGTTTTTTCCAACTCTTGGATACTTTTATGTGTAATGGTCAGCTGTTCGAACTCATAGATTGCGTAAATCCACTAGAAGGTTTTCATTAAGTTTGGGAGAGAGCATTTGTGCTGATCTGTTACGTTTTGTCTCTATTTCTAATGTTGTGCCAAATCTTAGCTAGCCAATCGTTCTATAATAGAATTTCCAGGGGTAAAGTGAGTGTTTGCTGGAAACAGTTGCTTTTTTGGTGAGACGAAAGATTACCCTGGGTGCACTCGAAGTGACCGATCGCTCATTCTGCTGTTCAGAAGATTCCTCTCTTCCTTCTCTACCACGACGAACAATACAATAAGGAAGTCTTATCTCTTCTCCAGTTCTTTTAGGAACTAACAGTGGAACAGAAATATTTTAGGAAGTTTCTCCTAGTCGCCATTCTTTTGCCTACTTTCTGCCATTATCGTCCCTTTCCTTCTTTCGAGTTATGAAGCAGAAAATGCGGCATTGTATTGTTTTGAAGAGGAAATTTTGCAAAATATGAATCCATATAGGAGAACAAATTGGGCTATTTTCATCATATATTTATCCTTCATGAACTTGCTTTTTCTCCTCGTGTCAGGAGATTCCAACAGTATTGGTTTTTCTGTTCAATATCTTTCTTAGTAGTGTTCTACACTTTACTACTTCACAGCTGTACCGCCATCATTGCTATACAATGATCGCTTGTCTAGTTGTCGTAAAATTGCTTTGAAGTGAACCGCTCAAATGTTAGAACCAATTGTCGCCTAAGCCAAATATACAGTTGTACGTTCGCAGCGCTAGTACTGATTGTTCTAAGCCTATTTTTAATGCTATATCACGACCGTTCCCTTAATACCATAACTTTTAAACTCATCCATCGATCAATAACAATTGAGATTGATCTGTTGTTTTTATTCATACATGACGAAAACGTTTTGTTCATGTCTTTTAACTTTTTATTTCGAAAGGTCACTCAGTGCTATCAATCAAGGTTCGCTTCTGTTACAGAACAAAGCCGCTTCACAGAAGTAGACGTTCTTCTACTGTTTTGCTCGTTATTAATGGATTTTCTTCAACAAACGTCAAACAAAAGTGCAAAATCGAGCGCTCTGATTTATGTAATAGTTAGCTGAACAATTTTTTTGGCGCCACAAAGACTTACGAAGACTTTGTGCAGAATTGTAACCTGACGGTCGGACATAAAAGTGGCTAAAAGGCAAGAAAAGTCAATTTTTATGTTTTCTAGAAGCAACGGAGACATGGAAACGTAGCTGGAAGTTTAACTGAATGTGGAAATTCATTGTTTGAAACTTCATTCAATGCTTCTGATAATACACTATTGTACAGTTGCGATGGTTCCACCCACATTCCATTTGGGATCCGCTTTTATTGGATGATCGCATGAAGAATGTTGCGGTGTTATCATTCCTCAGATGGTCATTTCGTTCTACGGTGTTTGTCGTCGGCATTCGTTAGAATGGAGAAGCTCGTTGCTGGTCATCTTCGAGATTTCTTTGCTAATGTGATTAGGACAAAATCGCTAGTCACGTAGGCTTCTTTTTTTTCTGTTGTTGAACAAGTAATACTAGGCATAAGTTGAGTGTATTCGTTAGTATCCTTACCGCAATACTACCAAGATTTTGTATAACAAAATTTTTAAATCATATCATTTCGACAGTTTAAGGATTCCGAACCTTACGATTTCAGACACTGGTTTTTTTTCCTTATGGGTCACCTTTAGTTTGCGTGACATTTCATTTTAATCTTCCGTTTAATGGAGAGAATATGATTCGCCAGAAGATTGCCTTCACTCATTAGTTTCTACTATGTACTTGAAACTTAAAAGGTTGTTGTTTTTAAAAATTCTTATTGACATTAACTGTAGGACTTCCACCGATCTAACAGATCCTCTATTCCTTTCAAACATTTTTCTTTAAAAAAAAAATAGACCCACTGAGAAACGATCCTGTGAACGAGTTCATTGCTTATTTGCTGAAAAGCACCAACGGTATGCCAGATACCAAGTATGATGTTGAGGTATCGATTCTGTTCTATTCTTAGGGTCAACAACAATGCGGCACCTGACTCAGATAAGTATTATGAGGCACCGAGGTGGCACTTTTAGGGTAAAAAAACTAGCTGAAAGAAATACAAAGGAAGGGTCTCAATGGCGTGGTGGGTAACACGTGTCCCCAGAAAGGGTAGCCGTGGGTTCAGATCTTGTCTGGGATCTGAGTTTTGCAAATATCTCACCATCATTGTGGGAGTGTTGTGAGGGTTGAACCATCAGTGAATATTTGCGGCACGTGGTCGATCTAACTCCTGGCAGGCCTTCTTTTCGTGGTAACGTTAACCCATGTCACCATTGTGCTCATAGAAGAGAAAGCGATCAAAGCGGGCAAGGTCAACTATATTAAGGGCTCATGTGGTCAGTATCATGTAGCTATCGATCAAACACGAATTTCTGTCTAGTTATTTGTCCTTTTTTTAGGAAATCAACAACTAAAGCTCCTTGCTTTGGTTTTTTGACTACTTCAAGGGAACGATCTGGTAAACATGACATTTTTCACATTAAGATCTCTCCACCATTCTCATAAACACTGTACGAACTGGTTCGCATTGGTAGTGATAACATTCTTCTGGGTAATGCTTCGACGTCATAACATAGTACTTTCCCATCTAAAGTACAGCTCGGATTCATTTTTTCATGCGGCTATGAAGTAATTGTGATAGTTCATGTCCTCGTTTCCATCACATTACAAATTCAAACGATACCCTATGTTCCCAGTATAAGAAGGGTCTAATTATGTGTCAGTGGACGGTTAATTCGACGACGGACCATTTTAATGTTGTCGGATGCACACGTGTATGTGTATGTGCTGGCGTCGGATGATGGCCCATCGTAGTCCGAGCTGCCCCACTTATAACCTCTATCCGTACCGTACGATGTTTTTGGTGCTTATGATGGTTGAGTGTTCTCTGTCTCATATGCCATAGAGATCTTTATGTTCATAAGAATCGCTTCACTTTTCTCGATATCATTCGTTAGATTGGACTATTTGAATGCCGTTCTTTCGTTTCCAGAGCTGCCTTTCCGTTTAAGTAGCATTGGCATGAGTTTTATGAGTAAAATGTGAAGCGAAAATGGTCGCAGACGACTGTTTTAAGTGGGGACTTGAATTTTTAGAACTCTATTTTAATCCTAATTAGGCACATATTATATTTACTACATAGTTGTTTCACTGCACTCTACTTGCCCTTCCATACCTATGGGATCTTTAAAGTGTTTCTCTCACCGCATTAAAGTGTCCGCTGAAATTCTGAGTAGTTTTTTGGTTGGAAAATTACCCGCAACGTTTGAGAGGATCTCCGAATTAAGGCTGATGAGATTGTCGGATTAGTTGATGCTATTTGTGAGGAGAAGATTGCTGTGAGATGCGTGTATGTGATTATTAATTGACGAATGTGCATAATGGGCAGTTAGAGGGAGCATAGTAGCAGAAATTTACGACTTCGTTCCCTGATGGATGTCCGTTCTTTCATCTCTTCCCGATCGTCTATCTCTCTATCTTTTCCTTACTTTTCTTGCATATGTTCTGTTGCCTTACAGCACCACTTTTATTCTCTCTTTTGTGCTGTTTTCCCTCCGCCTCTCATCGTCTACTTTCCCGTTCCTTCCGTTTCTTCTCACACGTATAGGACCACAACACAACTCTCAATGGTCCCACTTGTCGATGAGGATCTGTTTGTCATGCGGATAAGTGCATCCTATTTTCCGTCATTAGCACTTCATTAATTCAATGGATTCTTGTTGCTGCTTCCTAGAACGACATTGGCAAAGGCAATGAATATTAGGTAGTGTTTTATAGATGTAATTGAGATATTTGATGAGGATCGACTACTCTGAAATTGCCTCATTATGTTTGAAAAAAATCGGCTACGTTCCCATTTTCTTTGGGAGTTACAATCTAAATGTCGGTCGGCGAGCGATAATTTCTTTTGTTGTAGGCCATGTGTTGTTGACGGAGACCGGTGTGTTTCTTGTAAATTGGAAACTCAGCTAGCAAAACATGAGTGTTTTTTCTTATGGTTAATTACCACTTTTCTTATCGATGAAAGAAGTATTGATTCTATACAGTTGTGTGAGACGTATAAATACAGATGTTTATACTGCCTTTCTGCTTTCTTCAGCGTACGGTGGTGTTCTAGAGATTTCTTTGCTGCTCTTATCAAACTCCTTGCGGAATTTTCGAATAAAAATATTCCAGATGAAGACGACATGAAGCTCTTGGAGTATTTGAGTACAAATTCCTGCAGTACTTTAGTACTCTTTCACGTTACTATGGGTTTCATCCGTAATATTTCGGCCGGCGTGGATGAATTTCTTCATTGTGCTGACATCGTCTACGTTTCAGTGCTTTCTCAGCGATTGTCTGATTATCGCGTTTGATCTGTTTTTTCAGTCATTCCTCTTCTTTTTCATATCTCCTCCATCCCTTTCCCACTTCTAACATCCGTATCTTTTCTGTTTAATATGATCGCAATACCGTGATGCTTCCTACTGCGCCGTCGTCCCTCTTTCAACCTACTTTGAGGATCTCGTAAGGAATCACGCTCATCGTACCCTTTCTCATTGTGATGTTATGCTTGTCAATTCAGTGTTACATCTAGTGTCTTAGAGTCGGAAGTGCTCCATTATTGAAGTGGGATCCCTCACCGACTATTGTGTGAAGCTTGCTAATGACCATTGGGTGCATTAAGACAGGGTCGAATTGCTTTGTCTTTGATCAGCGACATTTTAGAATTTTAACTTTTATAGATTTGCTTTTTCCAATCTCTGCTGTTCCATGCCATGCAGAGCCGGGCGAAATGCTTGTTCTGCAGCTGATTTTATGCAGGCAACGCAAGGATTTTAGTTTCTTTGTATTGTTGACTTCCGATGTTCGATGTTGTGCTTCCTCATCTTCTTTGATCAAAACGCTGTTTTTTTAAAGGCGGTTAAATGCCCATTTATCTTATTAAGTGAAGGTCTGCCAGAAGAACTCAGAAACGTACAATGATTTAAGAAGAACTTTTGAGGTGCTATGACCCGTACGCATTGATGACCTCTTATGTGACGTACAGACTGGGCGTATTGTAATGGTAGCGAATAAATGTACATTACTGAGGATCGATCAATAACAAATACATTATATGCAAGTAGTAATTTGTAATAATGTTTATCCCCCTGTCCACTGATCAAGTGGTTGGAACGAAATTTCTCGTTTGTTCGATCACATTAACTTTAGTACTGAAGTAAAATTTGTGCTAAATTTCAGCTCGTTTCTTTAATCGTTCGTCGACGAGTCGCTTCGGACACTCTGCACGAATTCGACGTGGTCGTTCAGTTGATACGCCGTTTAGCAGAGTGACGCCGCTTCGAGCCACCGTCGGATCAGGTCCTCTTTTTTTCTGATATTTATCATTTTTTTCTTGGTAAAAGTGCTTCTTCGTCTTTAATCGAACCCGTTACTTTTGAATTAACAATTTTCCGGCTATCCATTTATAGAAAAAGGGCGTCCTCGTATGGAATCCTGTTCATTACTTCGTTGACGCGACTAATAGAAGTGCTTTTATCATTGCCTATTTGAATGAAGATAAACGTGTAGCGCGGATTTTACCTTCATATTCGTGTTTTGATTCCTTTATTGGGATTCTCATTCATTTTAACCTACTAGGAATGATTAGTCTTGAAGTTGTTGTTGAACTGACATGGCAGCCGTATACTAAACGGGTGTAGATGTTGTCCTCATTAAGGTTTTCAGCCAGCCCCACATATCCCTTACCTTTCAAAGATCTTTTTTTTATCCTTTTTCCTGGTTTTCAAAGAAAGACTTGATAAGAATCGCGTTAATCTACAAGATCAACTTTCTTTTCATTACATATTTGAGAGCAACCCTTTTCTGTTAGGTGGAGACACATCAATAAGCTATTCATTAACAAGCATATACTATCCTATTTTTACAGTGGGACTCGCCGTTGGACTCGTATAGACGAGCCAATTCGTCCTAAGTGCTACTTTTGGTAATTTTTGACATGCAGAGTTGAGCTTTTCTTGGAAATACCTGTCCAATATTTATGGTGGGGGGATCGTCGACTTGTTAAGAAAAGAACTGTGGAAGCTTTTGCCAAAAAATGATGAACTCAAATCAATCTATCCCATTGTGATGATTTTATTTACTGATGTGTTGGGTGTCACTAACAGATCGCGTCGTTTTTCAGGAACAATGCTGGGTCCTGGTCAGCCGGCGTTGCCTCCGATGCCACCGGAGGATCAGTTGACCACGATGTTTGATCAAGTATTAGTGAGTGTTGTTCATTCCTCCAATTTCTTTTGCGCTTGAAAGCGTTTTTGCTTACGTTCCTATATTTGTTCAAACACTTGCATGCTTAAATCACACCTCTTCACAAATTGCAAAGAATCATTGGAGCCTCAGCACAATTTTCATTTAACCAGTGATTCACTGGCTGAGTAAGGTTTTCATTTTCTGGACTGTTGAAAGCTGCTAGGGCTCCTCCAGGTCACCACCACTTCATGGCTAATGACTAAACTGTATCGCTATATTTACTTAGACTGTTTAGCTCACACGAGGTTATATAACCTTTATTCGGCCACCGTTAAAAAAACGGCCGAATAAAGGTTGTGTAACAACTCGTGTAAGCTAAACAATCGAAACAAGCATATTAATTATTCACACCGACGTTGAGTGAAAGTCGATTTAGTGAAGCATATTGTATTGTTTTGTTTACTTTTAGTGAGACTTCCTCATTGAGACCTTGAAGATCTCAATTTGGGAAACCCAGGTTTTCAGTTAGGCGTGCATTCAGTATCGCAGTTGAACACCTAGAAACAGTGCGTAGCTACGAATTGGCGATAAGCCATTGGTGGTAAACTCATACGCCCCAATTATGAAAATTTTAGAATATTGTAATGATTTCCTTATTCTTCCTTTTCTTTCTCATCGGAGACGATGAATGTCTTCGCATGTGGTACGTGCAGCAATAGCTATGCGGATTTCGGCGCTGGGCTGCAAGGTCTTCGTCACAGCTGCGCGTCTAAAATTGCTGTTTCTTTACTCCCACTAATAAAACACCATTCATAAAACGACGATGAGTGCCGAGATGAGTTTGCGAAGCAAGGAAAACGTCCGAGTACAGCAAACAAAAAAAACGCATCTTCGAATCGCGATGCGGTTACCGGTTTCTTCTCGTTGCAACATCTATGGCCGAGTCACATTTTCAATGTCTTTTTTCCGAGTGATAACAAAAATTTGCATATTAGTAGTAGTGCAGTTGAAATGTGGATATCAAATTTGCATTCTGAAAACCAACAGAACACGAAGGAAAGGCAAAAGGTCTACCCTCGGCTGTTTTTCGTCGTCGACATCGTCGGTTCTTTAGGGCTTTTGTTCGCGTGAAATGAGCCGCTTGGAGATGGCTTTCAATACGAGAATACTGACAATCCATAGAATTAATGTCCACTGACGATGCTAATCCCTACGAATTTATATGAATAGCCAGCCGATTGATGATTTATTTGACGCACCTGCGAAAAACACATGCTTGTCACGACAGGTGTTTTTGCCTATTTATGGGTTTACCAGATTCTTTTAAGGCACCGGAACTCTCAGGAATTCATATTTTAGTGGTGGCCTTTTAATAATTACTCATCTTATGTCTTAAATATTTTCACTATTTTCACCAAATGAACCAATACAAGCTAGTTAAGATGGCGACGACAAGGAAGTAACTCATCGAGAAAATAAGCGCATAGCTGAAAAGTTGGTAAAAAATTGTTTAGATATGCTAATTTTTTAAATGGTATTAAGTAAGTAGTTCATCGTCAGATGGTGTACAAGGCAATGCTAATGGATATCATAAAGATGTTGAGAGAATGATTACGGTAGTAGGAGATTGTGATTTGGTTACGGTAACCGTCGTTGCTAAGAAAAATGACGGAATATGACAGCGGAAGCGATTTTTAGGAAGCCAAAGAAGATTCCCGAAATGGTTTTTGAGAGATTCGATTCCATAGTTTGATAAATGAGCGAATAGAACAGCAGTTCCAACTCTCAGCTTTATGTAGTGCTTTTTAGAAACAAATGGATTTACCAGTGGATAAGATGCGAATATTGAAAGAGTATAATAACGAGAAGAAATGGAAAGTCGTTGTGGATAGCGTAAGTTTTATTTGTTAAACGAATTTCAAGAGAAGAAAGCTGGGTGTTTTCTATACAAACAGTGTTTGTGAGATCTATTCAATCTTTCCTTGATGAAAGTGAAAAATTACTAATTTATCTTTTGTTTTTCCTAAGTGTTTTTGCTTGATCTTAGATTGAAAATCGTTGTTTTGTTTCTTTTCTAGGTGTAAAGTTATGAACTGTTTAAGTTCTTGTTAATTGCTGTTATCAAATATTTATTAACAAACAAAGCTTTATGGAGAAATCTGAGTGCGATAACGATGAATTTTTCAACAGTACCATAATGGTTCTGAGATATTTGCAAAACTCCGGACCCAGGTGTCTGCGGTGGGGAACGAATGCGATATTACCCTTTCCGTGGGCTAACGCTTTTCACCACCACACCATGCGGCTCCTTCGTTTCGCTTGTCTCTCAGCTATTTTTCTATCTACTAGTCATCAGCAAGCACCTGTCAACATGGTTGATCTAGGGAGAGCAAGTCGGCATTGAGCTTAGTTAAGCTAAAGCTATAGTTCAAATCACAATGTACGCCTTTTATTTGCTGTCTACTGGAATTTTTTTCAGCAAGATATTACATAATAGCTCGTTCGTTCCCCGTCTCAGACACTTGCGGTTCGGAGTTTTGCAAATATCGCAGCACCATTATGGTTGTATTGCACATAATATCCTGCCGTAAAAAACGACCCGTCCTCAGTGGTTGTGCGGGCCCCAGCTTAACCGCCTTTTTTCGGAGTTTTGCTAGCCAACGTGTTTCCCTGGAGTCCTGGGATTGGTCTGGCCAAAATTCGCCGCAGTTCATCACCACCACAGGCAGTCGCATTCTTTGTGGATCAGAGGTAGATTTGCCACCATGCGAATAGTTTTATACCAGGACGGTGGTGGATCTTGGTATTAGTTTGCTCTTAGCTAGGCTTCGTGATGGAAATGCTGGACTCCTCAGTTTGGTATAGTCTGTGTGGGGTACGAATCCCCCGCTGTACATCGCAGTCCGACACCCAAGAACACCTCCCAGCTACGTTGAGGCGGTAAACCGTTAGGAGGAAAGTTGTAGTAGGTAGCAAATGAAAGACTGACTTCTTCAGTAGTTTTTATCATTTACACTTTAGCAAGGCATGAACGCACATGTGGATCCGGCCAACTATCTGACAAAACTATCTTATTTTCTTGATAAGAAAGCCCTGAAGAAGAACAAGAAAGTTCTTGGCGATGAGACTTCAACCGAAGTCTTAAAGCATATCGAAATATCATTGAGAACTAACAGTGTGGAGTAAGTTTTTACAAAGTTTTTATTTGTAGGTCTTTATAACTTCCAAAATAGAAATTCTTTTTCAGTTGGGTCATTCAGTTCTTAAATTTACCGAATAATGGACTACAAGTGCTTGTTGAATACATGAACCAGTTACTTTTGGAAGCATCATCGCAAACGTAAGTTCTTAGAAATACCAAACTAAGCTACAGAGGATGTTTTTTCATCAACAGAAGAAAAAATCTCGATTAAAAACGCATAGTGGGTAGTGATACACTTCATCAGAAAGCACTGCTCTAGTTCTAATTCCTCCCAACGCATTCCTGCAACCCACGTGCGCACGCCCTGGTTCGGCTTTCGCTAAGATTGCAAGTAACATCGACTCGACAATAAAGAAGATGAAATCCTCGGACAGCATGCGAGCTAACACGCGAGACGTTCGAAGATCTTTATGCACTATAATGGGAGGGAACGAATCGAGGTGAGAAGTGCCGGGATCGCAGTAGATGTGAGGCGGGTGATGGAATAATAATATTATCAGTAATAGTGATATTAAGTTCTATATCAATATTAGCAACTGGTTAAATCCTTGAATTTTGTGAGGTTTTATTCTGTTTTATTCGACTATGAATAGTCCAGTCATCATCACATCAATTATTTGTAAAATAATGATGGTAGTTTCGAAGCAGATGGAGAGAAGTTCCATTTTTCAGATGCGTAGAAGCTCCGACTGGTACAGGTGTTGATAGCACTGACCATGTCATTCCTTCAGGTTCGGTAACTACAATGTCTACGTCGGGATCGCTTTTTAGAAAAAGTCCGTTGTTTTGCCTCATCCTTGCGAAGTAATATTTTATTGTTAATTTATAGTTGTACAAGGATGACGTTTTTATCCCAAAGATTTTATGTATATGATGGTCACTTAAAATTCTTTTGAAAATTCTTAGTTGTTCATGTGAACTTAGAAGTGAGACTGAAAGATTAGTCTTTTTTTTTTGCTAAACTTTCAAACTAGTTTAATTATTTTTGTTGATCAAGAGTAGTGTGTTAATGTTAATGCAGTCTTAAACATCGTTGTAACGGTACTCGTGGTCACAGTTTATGTATTGTTGTTATTCAATAGAGTATGTATAGCGTTATGGGTGAGGTGGACTGCAAAACGCACGCGATCAGATGTTCCAACCCGCTTTCTCAAGTAACCTGTCCATCCTCTTTCCGACATCGGTATAATATTACCAGACCTCCCTGCGACGATAGCACCACTGACTTGATGGATCTGCAGGACCACGGGTCATTCAGTGTGTAGGCTGACATGTATTAAATCACTTCTACGTTGTTTACTGGAGTCGAATGAATGACACATGCTTGAAGGATTGATCAGCACTGAGCCCTTTATTCTGTATTAGTAAAACTTTCTTCGAAATTTAAACAACGTCAAAAATTTGCTTGAGAGCATCGCAATAGCTTATATTTGATTGTATTGGATGTGGATTTAATTTGTGAAATCGTAAGATCATCAAGTGAACTTAGGTCACTCCATCGGTGGACGAACTACCAAAGTGAGCAAAAATGTCGGTGAACTTGAAGATGACGTCCATGTTTGTATCATGTGCCTTAGAGCCATAATGAACAACAAGGTAAGCAAAATAGTACGACGATTAAACAATAATTACAATACTATCGTGAATTGCATGTGTTTTTGTTGGCTGAACAAATCGAATGAGCTGGTATCTGTTTAATTTTAGCGCGGCTTCGAACTGGTGTTTGCAGATTCGAGAGCGATTTATTGCATTGTACGAAGTATTCTTCATCAAAGCCTCAGGTACTCGTCATTTTTTGGCGCCTAATACTGTTTTTTCTTAATTACATTCAGTCTTCTCACCTTTACTTTAAATATAGGAAGCGTTTGTATTAATTCCTCCTGAGTTCTCGCTTTTACTTTGTCATTCGTTAGTTCCTGTAGTTGAAGGTCTTCATTCTTGTTGAATCTCTTAGGAAAATCTGCTGTTATCGTTTTTAAGCTGTTCTATTCCTAATAGAGTATAGTTTTGGAAACAACCTAGTAAGATTCAAATGGTGGTAATGAGGTTATTCCGTGATTTTAGTTTTCTGTTCTTTTAGGACGAAAACGTTAGTAATGCAAATGCTTTCATCGATTTGTATGGTTCAGGGGGGTCAGGAATTGGTCAGTGATGCTTTCGATCAGTTTAGACTGGTAAGCAGTTTCTATATTTTAGTGTTTTTTCTCTATTCTTTTTTATTTCTGTGAGAGTTGGAGTGCAAGAGATGACTAGCTTCTTTCGACAGTTTACTAACGTTCATCTGTGTTATTCAAATTTCTTCAACGTTGTTTCCATCATATCTTATGATGTCAGTGTCCCTCATGATACGATTGGGAGAAAAATATTTTCTCACGAGTTTTCAAATACGCCACAGTTCTGAGTTTTAAGCAGTTTTCAAATTATGAAACCTAAGAGTTCGTTTTTTGAAAGGTTGGTGAACAAGCTTAAGAGGCAATAACATAATATTTGTAAGAAGCCTTTCTTTCAGTTAGAAACATATCAAAAGTTATTTTCAGGATTATCGTGAAAGACATCGGTTCCAAACACTCATGTTTTTCATAAGAAATCCACCCGGTAGGTTTTGTTTCCGTTTTTGTTTTTCTAGATGGATACTGTTTCATCGCGCCAAATAAGTCTTACGCACTTAAATATTCGACGATGAAATAAATACTATCCGTATTTTTTCTTTTTACACTCTGCGACTGATTGCGTGCTCGTTTAGAATTCCACGTTGAGTTCTTATCATCTGCCATCCAATTTCTGGATATTTTCTCATCCGTGGAAGATCTCAACCAACGAGTTTATCTACAGTATGAAATGCATCAACTTGGTTTGGACAGCTATATTGATGTGAGCTTGGAGTTATTAGTTGTTTTTCAAACATATCTTCTCTTTATTTACCAAATGAATACTTTCCCTTACCTTAAGCCTTAACTGCGGTTGATAGAAATGACTCAAGAAGACCTAATTATTTTAAAAAAATTGTTGAAGGCAAGAAGATATCGTAAGCTAAGGTGATTTTTAAGTCAATCAGATTTAGTTTTTTGGTTAAATCTTGGTTAAGTTGTTGTTTTCGTGGAATTTAATATTAGAGAGCGTTTACTGTTAGACACTAGATGGATCGCGCTTTGAAGTTCTATCACTAAACGAATTACTGAAAAGTTTACTTCATCTAGGTGTGGTTTTTTAATAACTTATTTGGCATTGATTGATTATAACTTGAATTTGAACTTGAACTTGAACGGCCTGTCCTCACTAGTTGTGCGAGCCCCAGCACAATCACCATTTTTCGGAGATTTGCTTATTAAGCCATTGTGGTTCCCTGGAATCCCGAGGACAGCCTGGCCAAAGTCTGCCCCAGGTCGTCAGCACGATAGGCAGTTGCAGCCCTTGTGGATCAGAGGGAGATTTGCCACCATGCGACTTTGATACCAGGATGGTGGTGGATTCTGGTATTGGTTTACTCTTAGCAAGGCTTCCTAATAGAAACACCGGATTCCTCAGCTTGGGAGACCCTACCGGGTACCCCTGCTGTACATCAGGGTCCGGCACCCAGGAACACTTCCCAGCCACGATGAGGCGGTAAACCGTTGGGAGGATTTATTGTAAAGCATAATTTCCTTCTTTCGATTTGTGCTAGTACTTGGAAAAAAAGTGTAGCATTCTCTTTAGGAGATGGCTGATTGTAAATCAGATGAACTACAAGCGAGAATGACAGCTTATGTGAATGGCGAAATGGACGTGGCTGCTCTGGTAGAAGACTCGCACCATAAAGCACGTTTGCTGGAAGAGTGCGATCAGCTGAAAAGTCGTCTGTCACAGGTGAGAGCGTCTCGTAACTGAAGCGCCTCTTGGGACGTCGTCGAGCCATTTTGTTTTAGGCGAACGAAAGAGTTCAAGAAGTGGAGGCGAAGTGGATTACAGATAAAGCGGCTTTGGATCGAAGGTTACTTGATTTGGTCCGGGAACGTGATCGAATGCAGAAAGAACACGAAGCGCAGGAAGGAACGTGGAAGAAAACAATAAGTGAGTCATAAAGTCACAGAAAGGTCTTGTTGAGGGTTTCGTGCAAAACACATTGGAGATTTTGTAATTCAAATGCCATTATTAAACTGTTAAGTATTTTTCAATTTTAGTGATCAAAAAGTGGTTAGAGGTGTTTAGATGCGATTTTGAGTCTCTTATGAGATGCGTTCTTTTGGTAGTGGTACTGGACTATCATTATCGTTATTCCTCTCACATTGTTTAGCAGATAACGTTTCTTGCAAAGAACGCAGAAGTTAATCTTAAATTTGTATTTTTTTTCAAAAAATTTTAAACCAGCCATCGCTTCCCCTTTGTTATCTGTTTTCCTGCTCGTTTGGTCTTCGGAAGAATCTAGTGGATACTGAGGTCTTCATTTGTCTCTGACATACGTATGGTAATTAATCTATGAGGCTCTACTCTCTTTAGGGACGCGAAGAGTTATATTTTTCCTATAGCGACCAAGCAGCCTGAAAGTCCAATGATTTATGTAGCTGAGGACAACTCCTAAACTTTAAGAACCCTATCCATCCGCACCTAGTCGTCCTAGTAAACGATGCGGAATCGGAGACGACTTTGAGATCAGGGAATGAGACTTTTTCACAGCTCTTAGCAATTAATAGCCATGGAAAAAGTGTCGATCTCTGGCGTCTTCTCAGAGCTGAGATAAGGAGATCTATGAAGATTTTTGTTTGGAAAAGAAGGGGAAGTTTTCTTCTTTGAAGTTAATTTCGAAGAGGTAAACATCGGCTATTAGTTGAAATGCTACACATCAGACTTTAAACGTCACGAATACGAATGAACTGAAGAAAATGGAAACAATTAGACATTCAGCGTAGTGTAATGTAAAGGATTACTGCAAAATCACTTTTATCAATCGTAATCATGTGGTTGGATAAAAAATACGGTGCGTTTACAATATCTACTACAGAATTGTTACAATACGGTTTTGAAAAATGAAGATACAAAATACAAGAACAAAACAAGAGTGCAACCACTATGAGCCTGAGATATTTGCAAACCTGGGATCCCAGACCCGATTCGATCGCGTGGTTACCCTTTCCAGGGACTCACGTGTTACCCACTGCATCACTGAGGCCCTCGCATTGCCTTTATCTCAATTAGTTTTGTGCCATCCATAATTAGTACAGGGATACAAAGTACGATAATTGAAATATAATGCGAATACGATTAGTATATCGCTATGTCACTGCAATTTATCCTACAAGTTTTTTATGCATTGAGTAACTTCCACTTCTGACGAAGTTTAATGCATGGAACATCCCTATACGTAGGGTAATTTAGCGCTGATCTCTTTATTTATTCTTTATAAATCAATTCTGATGGCACAGGCAGAATGCAGAGGGCCAGTTGCTCCAACGCAGTCAATTTCGTGTCTAACACGGAATTCCTTGCCTAGGAGGAATTCATATGCCGCTAAACAGGAACACCTTTAAGTGAAAATTCCATTTTTTTATATCGAGGTAGCCGCAAATTCTCAACAAAGTATTCAAAAATGTATTCTTTCTATAGATGATGATTAGTATTATCCATCATTGATATCAAAATGGAAACGTCATGCAAAGAACGATGGTACATTGTTCATTTATCACAACTAAAATCGAGTTATTTATTTCACCTTGTTATAAGGCGATATTTTAAATTTTTTGTTGTTGTTTTTCGCTTCATCATTGTTATCCAGGTGAGAAAGATCGTCAAGCTCGAGAAAAACAAGCCAGACTTGAACAAAGGATACAAGAACTGGAAGCGATACAGAAAACCATGCAAGGTACAATTAGTAAAGCGAGCATTTCCTTCTCAACTACGTACAATGAAAAGTAGCCTCTTTTCTGGCTATGAAGGATCAATTCTTTGCTAGAAAAAACCGGAAAGGCGAAAAACGACCCACAATATACTGACGTGACATGGTTTATTCAATACTTTTTAGCCGGATTACAAGTACAGCAACAGGCCAAGTCTCCCCCTACTCCTCCTCCTCCGGCTCCAGGTCCTCATCGAGAGAATGGACCTCCGGCCACAGATCCTCATCGAGAGAATGGTCCTCCAGCCACAGATCCTCATCGAAAGAATGGGGTATCGACTACAATAGCAGCCCCATCTGCTGCAGGTTTGCTCGCTCCGGTTACTGCAGTGCCGCCGGCTCCACCACCACCACCACCTAGTTTATCCAGTAAGTTGAAAATACTGATTCAGTCTCTGGCTCTCCCTGAAAGCTACCAAATATGTATTGGATTCTTTCAGATGGTATAGAATCTGGTGGAGCACCGCCAGCTCCTCCACCTCCACCAGCTGGATTTACTAAAGTTTCTAGTGGACCACCACCTCCACCACCTCCTGGTTTAATGACTGGCAGTTTACCTGTCGCTAGTACTATAAGAAAAACATATCAGACAAGGTTCTTGATTCTAATTATTTCCTGCGTTAGTCGTGCTGTGTTCAGTATCAACGGTCTTCATCATATTTTCTCAAACTTCTCATGGCATCATACTAATCGTTATTTATCAGAGAAAATTCAAATGAGTGCAAATAAATTTAGGAACAAACTGCCTCAACTTAACTGGACCGCTATGAAACCAAACCAAGCGAAGAACACCGTGTTTGAAGATCTCAACGATGAGAAGATTATCGATGTAGGCATTAATTGAAATTGACTATTACTATGCTGCAAGTTCTTTTATTTCCTAACCATTTGGCGACGGTGCTGGTTTTTTCATAATTGACAATAGTTTCTCAGTTCGTGAATCACTTTAGGAGTTAAGAACTTTGTAGACATCGCATATATATTTTTTATTCTATATCCTTTCAAATTCAAATACGAGTAGAGTCAAGATTTCGGAAAAGTTGAAATTTTACAAATCTTAAAATTTCAAGATAACGGCAGCTGGCAACTTGAAATGCCTAGTGGGAAAACTCTGTCATGTCCTAGTAGACGAAATTTCGCTTGTTCATTTGCTTTCGTATTCGAAATGAGAGCCTTGGACGAAGAATGGAAGAAATGTGTGCCATGGAGTCCAGAGAATAAGAATTTCGTCTTAGAGAACCAAAAGAGCTTTTGTATTGAAGGCGAAGAACTGCAGATTTTAATAGTTCTCAGTAAATTCCAAGCAACCAGAAATGAACCCCAGAGAGGGATGCCTCGTTATGACACGTGATCCTAACATAGTATTTAAGATTGATATTTTAATGTAAGGGAAGCATATTATGCTTCCTTGTGAACTTTATGTGGTTGGTCTCCATATGACGTGCTCACTGGAAGACGCATAAAAAGCGGTGACTGTGAGAAGCTATTTTGTTTTCGATGCGATCGAAATCTTGGTTTAGTATTTCCCGTATTTGGTTATGGAGGTGTTTAGCCGTGTAGATTACAGTCAACTTGACCTTTAAAGGCTCAGAAGGAGGAGAAATCCGCTAAAACGTCGGCTGTTGTAAATAATTAATATGTAATAGCAACCTCAAGGAGCGGAAAGCACAATGGTAGTGATGCCAGTGCTTGTTCGATCACTCTTCGGGCTAACCGAGTTTGTCATCGCTGTGAGGTCGGGAAATTGATACCGGACTTATTCGGGAAAAATCCACTGTATTCGCAGCTTTGTACTCTTGTAACCACTGTAATCCCATTGGGAACGCTCTGGTCCGGCTATTTCAGGATGCCAGTGACAGTCAACTCGACCAGCATTGTGCAATATCCAAGATGAAGTGGAAATCCTGAAGCAGCAACCGAAATCACACATTAAGTTGGAAGAGCTTGGTGGATGAGGAAAGCGAGAGAATGAAGCGAATGTTGAGAAGCTCTGAGATCTACGCAGTAGTTGTGAAGACAGATCATGTAAAATAAGATATAAAAAAAATAACCTTGTATGTGCTAATGAAAAAAGTAGCAAGTTATTCATCAATGCTGAATTTCATAGGAAGTCGGTCTTGAGAATTAAGAGTTTTTATTGGAATTATTAAAATTCACTATGACCTGAGACATATTGAATCAAGATTGAATGCAGCTATTGTTTTTGTACAGTGTGACTCCTCTAGAGGTCAGGTCATCGAGTAGTGGTTTAACGTCTTCACAACAAAGTGGTTTTTCTTCGACCCAGTCTTTCCTTTACGTGTAGCCCATTTTAAGAGTCAATTTTGGCACATTTGTAGAATATGCTACCAGTTGTTTTGAAATATTCTTTTGGTTTACAATATATCTTTAGAAAATTGAAGGACTAATCAAAGTTCTAAAATTTTCAACACTAGTACGGTAACTATAAAGACAAGCGATGCATTGGAACTGCGTGTTCTGTTTGTCAAAATTTTGCTTTTGTCGCGTTGCTGCGAGAAATACCATTATTAGTGAAAAAGGCGAAACATAGAACAATGGTACTTGAATGTTGTTCCGACACACACATCGATCTCCGCGCCTGTGGCTCACCAAGCCTTGCATCCCTACTGTGTCGGTAAATTAGTACCGGACTTGCTTGGGAGGATAACAGCAATGACTCGATACACACACAGGTAGGCAGGCCACTGTGAGTCATCGTAAAGGCCGGGTATGCATTCAGTCACGTCCAGCGATGCTTAGTGAACTCGAATGCATGACGCGTCCCTTTGCGATTGATCAGCGCCGGGAGCCTTATCCTTTATCCTTTACTTTTTTCCTAGTTAATAATGTTCATTGTGAGCTAAAATATTTATGTTTGGAAGAAAAATATGCCAGGGCAAAAAGGTCCACTTAAGAGAGTTCGTGTAAAAGTTGTTTTTTTTTCCAGAAATTGGACTTCACTAAACTTGAAGAGATGTTCAAATTGACGCCGGCTTCTGGAGGTGTTATGACGGAGAACGGAAATCGGCTTGAAGTCAGTTCAACGGCTGGCAGCACTAATCAGATTAGCCCGGGATCGACCGCTAGCGGAACAACGAAGAAAAACACGCTGCTTGACCATAAGAGGTTACAGAACGTTGGTGAGTTGGGGGATAGACGTCACTTACAACAAGAACGCCATGTCTAATCACAGGTTTCTGCATAGGTTTTGTCACCTTATTTCAGTGGCCTTTTGGGTTTTTCATGATTTTGAAATAGCATTGCTTACAAGGGGCTGAAACGACTTCTATGTTAAGCCGTTTAATGTGTTTATAAAAGCGTAATATATTTGGGAACAGCGAAATCATCATCTCAGTGGATAAGCATCATCTGCGCTTTATTTACAGAAGACTGCATGGAATAAGCAGAGATGAAAAGCGTTAGAACTATGATGAGACAATGTTAACCTTTTTATTTACTGCCTATTACAATTTTTCACAGCAAGGTATTACGTGTGATACAAGCACAATGGCGCTGAGATATTTGCAAAACTCCGGACTGCAGGTGTCTGCAGTGGAGAACAAACGCGCTTATTACCCTTTCAGGCGGCTAACGCGTTCACCACTACGTTTAACTGCTTTCGTTGCCGATTTGGGCTCCCTAGATCAGTCCCGTTGGCGGGTGATTGCTGGTGGTGCTGGTCGATAGAACTAGCCGAGAGACAAGCGAAATGGAGGACCTGCATGGTGTGGTGATGAACGCATTATCCTATGGAAAGGGTAATAGCGCGTTCGTTCCCCACCGCAGACACCTGCGGTCCGGAGTTTTGCAAATATCTCAGCACCATTGTGCTTATAATGAAACAGTAGCATTATCCTTTTTGTTGTTTAGCTTCAAGTAAGTTTTTCTTCTGTAGCAACGTAACCATACGCAAAATCGCTGGTTCACTTCAACTTCGGGCCAACGAAACCTCCTATCGTTATCGTGCAGCTAGTGCTAGTATCGTATGGGAAAAGACTTTATAATTTGCAAGGTCTGATGTCTGCTTGGGGTGTGAAGATCTGCGGTCGGTCTAACGCAGTAATCTGAGGGTTCTAGAAAGAATACACTTATCCAGCATTCAACGGCCTTAATGAAAAATACCAAATCCCAAAGCAGCAGCTGAGCCCACACGTAAACCTGAAGAATACCTTCGGGGACGACGTATGTGAGAAAACGAATCGAATTAAGAAACTGCTGAGATCTACAAAGTATATGTTAACTGAGCGCCTCCAATTGGTTTTAGAACTAATCCTCGTAAATACTCTTGTGGAACCAAGAGTTTTTGCAACTGAAAAGTATGGAGATTGAACGCTCGTCCTCGAAATTTATTCAGTTCTTGAAATAGTTGACTAGATAAGCATCGTCTTCGATGAAGACGGCCCGGTTACTATTTACGATATGCATTTCGTGTTTCAATAGTAATGTCTATTTAAATATGCTGAAAAACTGACGGAAAATTTTGAACTAAAATTTAATTAAAATGTAATCTTAATTAAATATGTAGTTAAAGCTTAGAATTTTAATTTTAATGTTAGTATTTTAGATCTTTTATTGGTCTCTTGTTAGTCACTTGTTAATGCCGTAGGCAGCAGTTTATAATGTTATCAGCCTTTTGAACATGGAGGTAGAAAACGAATGACCGGTCAGATGTGGTAACACGGTATCGAGAACGGGTTGAACTTGGATAGCTGTATGACATAATGGGACGTCGACTTTTAGTAGCAGATACCTATCTCCACAAGCGTCTCTTCACATAAATATACGTCCAGTTTGACCCACGAGCGACCTTAATGGTAGGGTAAACCACAGAAGCGGTTAATAACCTTATTGCATTGACAAGTAACATCATGGTTTCAGTGTATTTCTACGATCTAATTCATTATTCCATGCTTTCCCTCTTTTTATTTCAGCAATTACTCGCCGTAAATTGGCTCTGGAACCACGTGCCATTATGACGGCTGTGCATCAAATGGATCTTGTCACACTACCGGCTGATAAGGTGGACATTCTGTCGCGAATCTTGCCCAGTGAAGAAGAGAGGAAGATGTACGCTGAGCGAGGTTGTGAAGAAGCTCTCAGTGATGAGGTGAGAATTAATCTTCCTCTTTGTAGCTCTGTACAATAACGTGTAGTTAGAAGAAATGAGGTGGTGGTGTAGATGATCTAACCAAACATGTTACGGTGTTTTTATGACTAATTTTTAAAACTTGTAGTTTGAAGCATGTGTTTGCCATAGACAGAATGTTTTTAACAAGTTGAAAGTCCTTAAGTATTTGAAACAGAATTATAAATTCTTTGTCGACACAAATCTGTTAGTAGAGTTGATGTCATTACTTACTTGACAATTGAACGGCCCATCCTCATCGGTTGTGCGGCCCCAGCATAATTACCATTTTTCGGAGATTTGCTAGTTAAGCTATTGTGGTTTTCTGGAATCCCGAGGTCAGCCTGGCCAAAGTCTGCCCCAGGTCTTCACCACCACGGGTAGTCGCAGCCGTTGTGGATCAGAGGGAGATTTGGCAGCATGAGACTTTGATACCAGAACGGTGGTGGATCCTGGTATTGGTTTACTCTTAGTTAGGTTTCATAATGGAAACGCCGGACTCCTCAACTTAGGAGACCCTGCCAGGGGATGAATCCCCCGGTGTACATTGCAATCCGGCACCCAGGAACACCTCTCAACCACAATTAGGCGGTAAACCGTTGGGAGGGTTGATGTCATTGGTGGCCCGGTTTATCTTCACACTTAATATTCCGTCAAAGTAGGTTGTTAGTTGTCGATTTGACTCACATGGTTTGGTCTGGAGTACGATGGTGTGCAAAATAGCACGTGTCACCACAAAGGTATGCGTCAACTAGAGAGTGTGATTCCCATAGATTCTTAGTGTGCTGTTTTTGAAATTTGAAATCAATATGGCTTTTGGGTAATGCTGGAAACAGAAGTTCGTCTGTGTTAGCAGCAAATACTACTAGCTAGAGAAAGATACGGGAAGGAAGTGAGGAAAATGGGAGAATGAAGAGATTTAGGATCGATTCATGGCGGCTTTATGCGAAATTGAACGTCTAGAACATAAACTGAGTGTGATGCGTGTCATGGCGGATTTCGATGAAAGCGTTGCATTGCTGGAACCGGTAAGTCTTAGTTAAAATGTTCTTTATTTTCTTCTGAACTAATTACCTGGCGTCATAGTGTTGATCTTTTTGGTTTTCTTCTTCTAAAGTTTTCTGTGCTATTCAAACTCTTCTTGTTAGTTTCATTTCCTTTGAAGCAATTCACGCACGTCACCGCTGCGTCGAAGTGTGCCCGTGAAGCGACATTGTTTCATCGTGTGCTTGAAGTGATACTTGCATTCGGTAACTATATGAACAGTGGTCGAAAAGGAAGCGCTTACGGGTTCCGATTATCCAGTCTGGATTCGGTTAGTTTTTCATACGATCTTTCCTTCTTTCTTTATGGAAATGGCGACAATCATAAGTTCAATTTTTCAGCTTGCCATTCTAAAATCACCGACTGATCGAGCGGTGACGCTTTTGCACATGGTTGTAGAGTCAATTGAACGCTCGTTCCCCGAATTGATGAAATTCGCCGAACAACTGAAATTCGTCGATAAAGCATCTGGCGGTGAGCACAGCAATTCTTTTTGATTGATGGAACGCACTTTATATTTCGTTTGTGGGTTAAATCTACATTGAACCCCATAGGACATTCGCGATCATTGAGTCATATGAAGTAGAAGTATTTCAATGAAGGATGTAGCTACTTCCATATACTTACTATTCTGAATGAGGGGGTGGATCTTCTGGAACTTGATCAAATCGTGCTGCTTGAGTTTGGTGATGATTTTGTCATGGAATTGGAACCACTCGTGGCTTTGGACAATCCGCGTTAGATAAAACGAGACGAGTTTAATTCATACACAACAATTAGTAATACTATACAACGACATATAACCTTTGTAACAAAAGCATGGCTTTATTTACGTGCTACCAAACAGTTACGGCGTTGAAGTAGAAATGAACTGGTTGGAAAAACATTCGTCATTAAGGATTTAGAAAAGAAATTTGTACTATCATAAAGAACGGGTGAAATAACCTCAGCAGTGCATAAATACTATTTTAAAACATTTTTGAAAAAGTTTCAGAAATTCTTTGTAAAAATTCACGATTTTTTAAACTTTGATCAAGAACTTAATGAGGTTCATAATTTTTCATCTAATCTCGTTTCGAAGAAGTTCTAAGTGGGACATCATGCTTTTGGTTGAAAATGAGATCTGAGAGATCTTATACTACGGCATTATTATCTGTGTCTTGAAATCGTCGTAAGCAAAGAAGGACTTCGGGGAATTTATAACCTAGCACATCGCTTGCATCGAGGTTTTCCGAGAATGTAATCGTGGTTCTGTCATGGAGTTATTTCAAGAAATGTCTTAGTGGTATCGTTAAGAACTTTTTACCCCAATAGATATAATGGATGTGTTTTCAGTACAGTGGGATAGTGTGATGTCCGATATGAAAGAACTAGAATCGGGTTTTGAAATGGCACGAAAAGAACGTTCACTGAAGGGAGAGAACAGCCCGAGGCCGCTCGTTGAGTTCCTGGACAATCATGATGAGAGGATGAAGCATTTACAAGAGCATGCGAAACTCGCTACGGTAAGCCGACATCGTCGAAAAATTCTTTTAGCGTAGGGTAAATTTGATAGACATTTTAGAATGTGCAAGCTTTTCTTCATGCTTTTATTCATTTGTTTTCCCGTCAATTATCGAATGACTCATATGGACATCACCGAAGTCTTCATTCGTCCCTGGCACTGGTTTGGGCAACCTAGTTTAATTTTTGCCATCGTCAGAGATCCAGGTGGATCAGAGGACCGTACGATGGCATAAATTCGTTGCAAACTAGGTATCCGGATAGAAATATTAGAACTAAAGAAATAACTAATGCTAAATTATTTATGGATTCTATCCAATGCCATTTGTTTTAACCGAACTAAAGTACTTTGATGGACACTTATTCTTTTCTGTTCAGAAAACCTACGAGGCTTGCATTGAGTTTTATGGTGAGTCGGCACGTACAACACCTCCCAATGATTTCTTCTCAAAACTAAGCAAGTTCATTGTGAATTTCAATCGCTGTAAGCAGGAGAACGATGCACGTGAAGCATTTGAAAAGGTTTGTGGTGTTGTATTGCTGTATATTGGAAATTGATCTTTACTTAATATTGTCCATACAATAAGTTATCCAATCGCTTTTGAAATAACCAAGTATTTTGGAGGACAAGTGGGAAGAATTTTCTGAAAATGCCGGAAAGCTGATGTTAGCAAGTGGTGACGATGCCACGTGCTACGAATTTCATTCACCAGTAGTCCTTATGTCACCTTATCTGCGGCCTACATGGTGTACCCGTGAGTGGTGGACATGGGATTATTGGCGGATCAAGCAATGTTCTACTTGCGTTGAGGTGCACGTTTCTAATATGCTAGGCTGATGTATTCCTTATGTGCGTGAGCAGGCCTTCTTGCATACTTGCATATGTCAATGTGCTGTTTTTTGTATGTGAATTCGTCGAAATTTCTGTAGACACGGAGAAACTGGTGAAATTTCTACGCTAGCGACTGAGTGGGTTATTACTTGTTGCCTGTCGGGATACAAAGTTCCTGATCAGTGAACCCCGTAAAATTACTGTTGTACAAAAATGGAAACGTGCATGACATCAACAACTGCTGACCAATATGTCTGCTCTCTGTCGTTTACAAACTTTTAATTCGTGTCAGCTTCCTGTTGGATTAACAGAATACTGGAAGAAGAACGGTCATGTGAACAACCTCTTTATTGCTGACGTAGTGCCTTTAAAATTAAGAAACGTTTGGTCGCCGACTTCAATAGAGAGAATCCTTGTAGCCAAGTGTTCACTGCAAGTGAAAGTCGGTCTTCATTCACCTCAAGTCAGAGACGTGGTCTCTTGTTGTTTAAAGATCAGAGACAATGCGGCGTACTACAAGGTGACGAAAATTAGCTGGGCGACACGTGTACACGTGGACACATTCTAGGAGATGTCAAGCACCAATAACAAGACAACGGTTGAATGGTGAAACCTCTTCACGAGGATATGAGACGAAGGCGTGATACTGTTCGAGCAGCTCGGGATACCAAACCACACTAGGGCTGCTGTGTCACGCAGTACGGATAATTCAAGACTCTGTTGGCGCCTACTCGAGCATGCGAAAGGATGACAAGTCAACATTCAAATGAACGTTGATGTTGATGGATTTTGATAATGGATTTTTTTTCCAAAATATGCTTCAAGTCATTTCTGTTTGTTATTGGTGCATATTACCGTCTCTCTTTGTCATTTAGAAAAACTATTAATGGGATAGTAGTAGTAGTGGTTATGGCAGTAGTAACAGTTGTTAATATTATTATTTCAGCGCCAACGCGACGAAGCCGAACGGCGATCGCGTGTGGCGACGAAGACGCAGCTGCACGACGGGATGATGCGGGAACTCGCGGAGCGGGTCGGAAACGGAAGCGCCGAGAAGCGGCAACGCGGAAAAATCGACAGTCAACAGATGGGACATGGCGACTTTGAAAAATTGATGAGTGGTAGGTTCTTTCTGTTCATCTGTTATTTTATGCTAGAAAATTTGGTTTACAACGACTTGTTGCATGAGTCTTCAGAATTCCACGTGTTGTTCATTGGAGCTGTGGTACAAGTGCTCGGTATTTTATACCAGTACTGTTAGACAACTGCTCAGTTTCCAATCTCAATAATGGAAATACATCACTTGAAATTAGGAATTAAATTCTTGGTGAAATCAGCACCGTTGAATGAATACCTATCGACATCCTAGGGTCGACTTTTACCTTATCAATCAATTTGTTGGTTGCAAATAAATTTCAGGCGTTATTTTAGGCCTCAAACAAACCTATGCGGTGTCATCGACACCTAGTGTGCCGACGCCGTCACGAAGGAAAGTGGGCTCGAGTCCGTCACCGGCCTCTCGAGTAGGCCCACCAGTTGCGGCGAAGACACGAGTGGTGGCCGTTGAACGAGACCGGAACTGAAAATCGGCGCGGATCCGTCCCTACTGACCAACAACTTTATTCATTTTCAGTTACTGAATTTTTTTTTTACTGCGACCATCTCTTCAGCTTTGTGCATTTTGCGTTTTCACTCTGGTTATAACTGAAATTGCCTAGGAAAACTTTGTTGAAATCGCCGATTGTCAACTGTTAGCTAGCTGATTCCAGTCCGTTTTCTCTTTATATCTGCCTGTCTACGGGTGACCTAGTGACTAAGGAAGCAGATGTACGTGTTGAAACAATTCTCCGCTTTCGATCGCCATTTAAAACGCTGCACGGTAGAGTATCCTTCCACTTCATTAACATAAGACCTAACGAAGAGTAGCCGATTCCGGTAATAAAATGACTACGTAGAATTGCTGATTTTCGGCAGATGTTGCATTTAACAAACTATTCCGCTAAACTTTAATTAAATTCCGTACTTGTTCTTATCTGTTTCGAATGAAATTTTTCGTCTTTGGCCAGCAAACTGCTGTGCCATTCACCAGTGATGTCCTTCCCCGTTGTGCTATTGATGTGTGAACAGTTTTCGATCGATATGCATTTGTTCAACATGCCAGTCAATGTGTCTCTGTTTCTCTTGTTCACACATCCTATACACTCTATATCCCTTTTAGTCTTGTCTTTTTCTAACCTAGTAAGGATATGATAGAATTCTCTTCTTGCATTTCCATTAATGTACTAGAATGTTTCAGATCTTAACTGTGTAAATAAGAAGTAACGTTTTCGTGTTGTTAAATAATTAACTAGCTGATTTTATAGATGGTACAAAATCAATTTGTGCATAACTAGTGTACAACACAAACTGCGATAATCAACGTATGTTTCAATTCTTGAGCTTACAGGAGCTTGATAAATTGGCTTTATTCGGCTAACGTTTCGACGTCTTTGTCTTCGACGCTGATCCGAGTCGGTGGTCCACAGTTCTTCGTCTTCTCTAAGGAAGAAGGTCAAAAACGACGTTATCGCCACTATTCATTTTTGGACCACTGGTGACCCACTCGAATACCAGCAACGATTGAGAAGGAGTGTACCATCTCCGATTCGTGGCTTCCGTCGACCATCATCAGACTGTGGATGCCGGTGCTCTCATTCTAAAGGTTTCCCTTGCGTGGGATTTTTCTTTCTCGACAAAGCTTTAAGTCTACCAAACTCGAAGGAACAAGAGACGAACAAAGACTTAAGTTTTGTCCTCTCTACGGGTCCTTAGCATATGCCTTAGATAGGTTAGAACCACATGAGTATCCGATGAGATCAAACGTGAGATTCCAAACTATGTCCACGGTGAGAACCTCTGTAAGACAACAGATTTTTAAAAAATTTTCAGCGACTAGGTTTTGCTGGAATAACATACCAGAACGATCTTTATCTGGTAATCAGCCTAGTTCGCTTAGACGATAAACTAAAAATTTAAATTGATACCATTTGTGTCCTGAACGATGACAAATCCCATTGGGCAACAAAGTAACACCACGGAAACGATTGGAAACTACTAGGATTCGATTAAACTATTCTATAATTAGTTGGGGTAAGTGGTATATATGGCCTATAGAGTGGGAGTCACTTGGATTCCTGGACGGTCCGTCTTCAGGAGTTGTGCGGACCCCAGCACATTTGCCATTCGTTCCTTTCGCAATCGTAGTCCATGGTGGTGGTTTTGCTCGAGCATGGTAGCGCGTGCTACTCTCATACCGTGATCTGTAAAACAACTGCAGCTGCGGGTACAGCTGATTAACTTTGTTTACGAACACGTCCACCCAACGTGTAGGTGCTCGTCCAAGGGAACGTTTGCACTCTGTTGGAGTCCACTCTACTGTTCTTTTCGTCCATCTGTCGTCTGTTCTTCTCATTTTGTGACCGGCCCATCTATGTTTAGCTATCGATGTATATTCTCCTGGATCTCGAAAATGTCACAGATTTCGTAGATCAGAGCTTCTCATTACAGCTACATATTGAGAGTGCCGGTTATGTTTCAGAAGACATCGTTCAAGCGCTCTATGACTAGCGCGAAACATTCTTGACGTGGTTGAAGTATCAACCCACGTCTCAGTAGCATAACGAAACGCTGGGAAAACCGTTGAATCGAAAAGGTGAACGTGGATTTTGGGGTCCTTCAGTTTGTCGATGGCTTCTTTGAGAGGCCCGAATCCCGCCCAAGCTGCACTTTTTCTTCTGTCTAATTCTTCCTTCATGTTGCTTTCCACGTTCAATGTTCGTCCAAGTTATACGTACGAGGTGGTCTCTGCAATCAGAGCCATCCAGTTCAATTTGTTCTCGTTTGCACCATGGGTGAACTAGGAGCTTCCTCCCATTTACGCCTAATCTGACCTTTTTCCCGCTTCGTCGAGCTCATTGATCATTGGCGCTGCTTCCCTGGTACTTCCTGAGAAGACAAAGTTGTCGTCGGTCAAGCGAAGGTTTGATGGGAATTTTCCATTAATACGTTTGCCTTTCTCACCCAATCGAGAGTGCCTTCATTATCTACTGCATTGCGGTATTAAGCAGCATTGGCGATATTGTGTCGCCCTGCCGAACTCCTTTCCCTATGGGTATTGTAAGAGGTCGATGGAAAAGCTGTATTTTCGCAGTGCAGTTCCGATAACAGTCGGACGGAGTCCTTATGTAGGATGGGTCCACTCCTTGGTCGAGAGCGCTGATAGGATTGCATTCGTTTCAACACTGTCAAACGCTTTTTCATAGTCGACAAAGGTTAGGGCTAGGGCAGGTGACATTCCTGACAAACTTCAATAACCTTGGACACAGTTTGGACGTAATCCATGAAGCAAAATCCTCGTCGAAATCCTGCTTGCTCCACTAGTCGTGCCTCATCCAATGTCCTTGATATGCACGAGAGGACAATATTTATGAAGGGCTTGTAGAGTACACACAACAACCATGTCGCAAAATAGTTACGAAGATCCCTTCGGTTACCTTTCTTCGACAGAATGACCGCACGCGACGTCCTCCACTGGCCTGGGATTTTTTCCTTTTGAAGGCAAGCTGTCATAAGGTTTGCGAAAAGTACATGTAAATTATGACTTCCAGCTCTAAGGAAGTCGGCAGTGATATTATCGGGTGCTGGAGCTGTGCCTCTTTTCCTGCTTTATATCGAAAGTCGAACCTCCGACAGAAGAATTCCAGGTGGTTTTTCTCCAGCGGAGATATTAGAGCGCAGGACGGGGATTGTGGAACGGAAAAGGTTGGTGTAGAACGTTTCCGCTATTGATTCCATATCATGGCGGGAAATTTTGATGACCCCATCTTCGTTTATCAGGGCTGACAGCGAAACATTATAATCACACAAGTCCCGACGGCATTTTTTTCAGACTGCTTCTTTTCTCTGCTGCTTCCAGTATTTTTTCTGCTTGTACCGTTGTAGATCTTCCTGCAAAGCTCTTTTGCAGCTGGTATTTATTACTAGCCATGTTAAACGTGTTGCAGTAGGATCAAGCTTGAGTTTCCTTCTCTTTTCGAGCAACCCCTTAGTAGTGATGGAGATGCGATCCGATCTTCTTGCTTGAGGAACTGAGGCGAATTCGGCACAGCTTTTCAGTCCCTTGATAAGCAGCTCGTAGTCTTCGGTCGGGTCTTCTTTAATCTGCCAGTCACGTGTGGACAGCACTTCGTTCAGAATGTTCTCGTCGTATACAGCTAGACTTTTTGATATTGGTTTTTGGATAAACGAGCATTCATGGAAGAGATGTGCAGCAGACAAGAATCCTGCAAGACGGCTTCCATTCTCATTTCTTTCACTTAATCCAGAATTTCCGATCCTGTATTCGATCTCGTTGGCCTTTCCTATTCTGGCGTTGAAGTCTAAGCAACAAATTTATGATATGCTTTATCATTGAGGATGACTTCCTCCAACTGATAGTATAAAGCATTTAATTCGTTCTCATCAGCTGCGTCGGTCGGTGAGTAGCAATTGAGGATTATGATCTTTTTATGGTGCGACAGTTGAAGACGAAGCACGGCCATGCGAGAGTAGAGGATCTCGTACGAGTCGGCGAGGTAGACGATGGATGTGTGGTCGACAAATCCTACACCGCTGACATTTCGTGACGGGACTTTTTCTCCACGGATCACAAGGGTCCCGTTGTTTAGTTGGCATATGTCGGTCTTCCTATTTTTTGTTTCTTGCAGTGCGATCGCGCGAAATTTCTTGCGATTTGGAAAGTAGGGCGCGAAGGTCGGCGTCTGTGGAGTGTTCTGGCATTATACGTGCAGAGTAAGAAATAATCACCATGGAGTATGGTGCGTGTGTTCGTCAGATACGGTTTTGGTGACGTCCTTCGTAACCGGAGATTTTGTAGCTTTTCGCCGGTTGTCACATCCTGACGTCATCCACAGGATCACCCAGGGCGCGTGCGACTGGCCTATTGCTGGCACTTTGATCCTCCACGTAGTCTTGACTTGATCTTTCAAGGACGTATCCAGGTCTTCACCACTACGTGGTTCCGAGGAAAGTACTTTTTGGCAGACAACATCCTTCGCTCGGTCTTCCTACTAGTTGATTCAGAGATGATGTTAAAACCGAGCTCATAAACGGAAGTAGGAATGGAAAAAATACCCTGCCGTTCAAGGAAGCCCAGCAGAAGGCGATTAAAAATTGTAATTGCAAAATACGTCCGCAATGGTGCTCAACGATATCGAGTAGAGGATGAAGCTGCCTTGGTACCTTTTGCAGCCTGCAGAAATTGGAAAAACTATGGTGGCTGCTCAAGAGGCGTGTGCCGCAGCGGTTGGGTCTGCGCCCATGGCCCACTATGCCTTCCATCCCTCCGGAATCGGCAAATTGGTACCAGACTTGTCTGGGAGAATAGCAGCACTGGGTGGATACATCGGTAGGCCACCGCGAGTTTATTGTAAAGGCCAGATATGCATTCAGTTACCTCCAAACGATGCTTAATCGAGTCGAATGCATGGCGCGTCCCTCAGGGATTGATCAACGCCGAGAGCTTTATCCTTTATCCATTATGGTG